TTCGCTCCACCGTCACCAAAAATTCCCACAGCAATTCCGCCAAAATGAGCAGCACCAGCTCGGAGGAAAACTTCGAGTGGATTGAGACGCCGCCCGCGCCCTCGTCCACGAGCCCGCCCTTTGACTGCGGCGTGCGGACCACTTCTGTGAGTAAACAATATTTCTGGGCAACTGCCCCGCCAGCCATTGAGCTCCGCGAAGGGGCGACGGAGGGCTGATATGGGATGAAACCACAGTACCCGGCCATTGCAAATGCCCCGCTCCCCGCAGACAGCAATGGCGCCGACCAGTTCTCCAACAAGCTGCTGATCTCGCTCCTCACTCTCGTCCCAGGCTACATGGCCTACAAGGTCGGCGGGGGGCTCAAGACGTGGATCTTCTTCGCCCTCATCGTCGACCTGCCCATTCTCGCTGCCTTCTGGATCATCACGTCTGAATATGCTCCCCGCAAGAACGAGAAGGCCAAGTTCCCCGGCAAGCCCATCGAGCACTACTTGACCTTTAAGAAGGAAGAGGACCGCAACACATACCATGGCAAGAAGGTGATTCCAATGGAGACGTTCCAGGAAAAGTACTTTGACGGCGAGGTCGAGCTCAAGGGAGACATGCTGGAGATACTCGAGTTGAGGCATGATTGGGCGAATTTCAGGTTTACTTTTGGGCTCATCAAGCATTTCTTGTTCGGCATGATTCCCGAGATGATTATGCACACGAGGTCGCAGGGTATGGAGACACTTGAGCCATAGTACTACCAGGGAGCAAATTTGCTGACAGAGAATGTCTAGACGAAGAGCAGGTCCGCGATCACTACGACCGCGGCGACGACTTCTACGGCTGGTTCCTCGGCCCACGCATGATCTACACATCCGGTATCATCTCTGATATCCACAAGGAAGAGTCCCTCGAGCAGCTCCAGGACAACAAAATGAGCGTCGTATGCGAGAAGATTGGCCTGCAAGAGGGCGAGCGCATGCTCGACATTGGTTGCGGCTGGGGTACCCTCTCCAAATTCGCCTCCGTCAACTACGGCGCTCACGTCACTGGCATCACACTCGGCCGCAACCAGACGGCCTGGGGCAACAACGGTCTCCGCAAGAACGGCATCGAGGACTCCCAATCCCGCATCCTGTGCATGGACTACCGTGATATTCCCGTCCCAGAGGGCAAGTACAACAAGATCACGTGTCTGGAGATGGCTGAGCACGTCGGTGTGCGTCATCTCGGTTCCTTCTTCCGCCAGGTACACGACATGCTCGACGACGATGGCGTTTTCTTCCTGCAAATCGCCGGGCTGCGAAAGGCATGGCAGTTTGAGGATTTCACGTGGGGTCTCTTCATGAACAAGTATGTTTTCCCTGGCGCAGATGCGTCGACGCCGCTAGGCTTCGTCATCGATAAGCTGGAGGGCTCGGGCTTCGAGGTCAAGATGGTCGATACGGTTGGTGTGCACTATTCGGCTACGCTGTGGCGCTGGTACCGGAATTGGATTGGGAATAAGGAGAAGGTAGTGGGCAAGTATGGGGCTCGGTGGTTCAGGGTAAGTCATCATCATTTCATTTTCATTCTGTATCAATTTCTACATCTTCCTCGTCGTCGGTGCTGACCCCGGATTATAGATCTGGGAATACTTCCTCGCCTACTCAACCATCGCTTCTCGCCAGGGTACCGCTACTTGCTTCCAGATTACGCTCGTCAAGAACATCAATTCTACGCATCGTGTTGAGGGTATTGCGACGCAGTTCTCGCTCTCGGCTGCGCTTGAGGCGAGTAAGGCAAAGCTGGGACTTAAGAATAAGCTCAAGTAAGTGCCTGTTGCGGTGTGATTAGTTGGCTGCGTCATTTTGGGCCGGTGGGTGGTTGCACGTCGTATTATGTATGGAAAGGTCGAGGGGCCAGGGGGTGTATAGCTGTGTGATGGGATTGAAATGAGGAGGGGATGGTAGTGGCGGTGAGCAGTGCAGAGTGGCGAGCTGAAAATAGAGAGGGGGCGGGGATGGGGCGTCGAATATGCTCTTTAGATGTGCTGTTCGAGATATGTGTATGGAAATGAAGTAATGAAACGTGGCGTAATAGCGCTTGTAGAGACTGCCCTCTTCCAAGGTTATGACATTCATGACTGGCTTATAGATGGCTCAATGATTGAGATGAGGAATAAACAGAGTTAGATGCGAGATGTATTCTAGTTTCATGCAAGGCTTAATTCTGTGTGATGTGAGGAGTCCACAAGACCTGTCGCACTACTATCTACCTCCCTCGCGACAAATCTCAAACCCAGCTTCCTAGCAGAGTCTATTCCTGACAGCTTTTCCGCCCAAAAGTCTCTATGCAATACCCGCTGAAACATTACATCTCCCTACCATCCCCCACGCCTCCCTCGCCAACCCCCCATCCCCCATCCCCATCCCTCCTCCCCCTCTACTTAAAAAACAAGTCCCTCAACTGCACCATAGTATCCGCCGGATCCCTAACCGCATGTCCGACGGTCCTCTCATCCTTATAAATCTCCCAATCGTTGCCGCCCTCGTACGCCTTGTCGCCAAAGAAATGTATAGTCGTGTACTCGACGCCGTCCGCGCGGTCCTTTTCGGCTTCGATGTGGCGCAGACAGTATGTCTTGTCCCAGCCAGTGGGGAACACGTCGAAGGAGATTTGGCCGCCGATGGAGTAGGTGAGGCCGAGGTTGGGGAAGGCGGCGCGGAGGGCGGTTACCATGGTTGTGCGGATGTTGTGTTGCTGGGGGGGGTTAGGGATGGGTTTGGGAGGGGGATAAGAAGGAGGGCATGGAGTGGGAAGGGTGGACGTACTTTGTCGTAGATCTCGTAGGCGATTCGCTCCGGGTTGGATGCGTTGCGGCCGATGGGTGAGACGTTGATCATGCCGTTGCGGAACTCGATGAAGGTGCCGCGCTTGATGGGGATGTCGAGGTCGGCGATGTAGTGTAGGATCCTGTTAGGTACCGGTCAGCCTTATCCATATAGATATAGCAGTGCATTAGCTTCTCTTCTCTTTCTTCCTTTGTGCTCCAAGTTAAACCCCATCTCTCCCCCTCGTCTCCCAACCAGGACAGATTTCTTCACACGAGGCCTACAGGCTCCGACGCGTCCAGACAAGGACGCAAGGTGCACAGTACATACCACTTGACAATCGCCTTATAATTCTCCTCCCCAATCCACTTAATGAAACTCGCACTTGGAAGCTCCTCGCCCATCCGATACGCCGTCAATCCGTTCTCCGCAAAGCAAAAGTCGAACATAGAAGTGACGTCCACATCGGGTGTGGCAAGCTGCTCCTGCTGTTTGGGAAGGTTGGACCCGCCAACAAAGCCAATAGCGACCTTGTGGCGGAGCTCGGAGAGGAGTTGGAGCATCTCGGGGGTTACGCTCTGGGCCGTGTTAGTTACGTATTCGATATGTTGCGAATAGAGGCGTGGGAGTTGGAATAGGGCTTCTTGTGGCTGGAGAGGGGAACGAATAGGTACAAGATTGAAGTCTCAAAACTTACATTGCGCGGAACCGTGAGCGTGTTGTCGACATCGAAGAGCACCACCGTGTTCTTGATCGGGCGGTCCTTGAGCGGGGGATACGCTGCAGCTCCGGTCGCCATGATTTCGCCTTGTTCGCTTTGAATTCGGAGGATGTGGAAAGTTGCTGGGTAGGTAGAGGGGTCAATTGAGCTCTTCGAATGCGCTGGTTGGAATATGGAGCAAGGAAGGGAGTGCTGGCGGCGAGGTCAATATTTTGGAGGGGCGCGATGCAGGGGATTTGCTCACCGCAGTTTGACGTGGGGTGGCGGGATGAGGCGGGTTGATTGGCTGTGTGTGTTCTGGACCCTGGAATGGTCACGATGCTCGCAATGTCTTCGCTTCAGATGAGAACTTCGGCAACGAGATGTCTTTTATGCCAGACTTGGTGCTTTCAAAATGAATTGTGACTCAATGGCTTCGTAATTGGGAAATTGGGAAATTGTGCCTCCCTCATGTGATGGTGACAGTGTAACGCGAATGATGCTGCCTAGGACCGACCCAGGTCCCGGCACAAGCTAGGGGTAATTAGACCATTGCGAGTAGTTGTATGGGAATGAGGACAGGTAGGAGAGGTTTAGTTCCATCGAAATTTATGAACACCCTGATGCATGGAATGTCGTCTTGTGAAGTTGGAGATGATGTTCGTCGTGGTTCATGCAGAGAGAGAAGCTCCTCAGAGCTGTTGATGTCAATTTTGGCATGGTAGGACGAAGATTGAGAATCCTCTATAGGAATTTGAATGCAGGCCTGCAACGAACCAACGACCAATCGACGATGGCCTGTGCAGCGGCCCGCAAAAGAGTGGGGAATAGTACCGAAAGAGACGGGCGCCACGACGTTTCGGACGATGTGTCTTGAATGGCTGCTCAGCCTCTGTTGACAAAGTCATAGCTGTCTTTTGTTACGACATCGCGGTGCGCGTTCCAGTTATCTGTCCTTTCAACTTGTCTTTTTGGCTTTGTGGAAATGACGACAAGGGAAGGGTGACTCGAACTCAGGGGTATGAATGAAATGACAACTTGTTCTCTTTCTCAGGGTAGTTATGCTGTACCTGTTTCTGTGGCCATGGGCGAGATGCTGGAGCACACATACAACCGGCTACAACTCAACATTCGTCCATTGCCCTCTGCATTGTCAATCTCTGCAATTTGTTCGTTCGGGTTTGAGAGGTCTGTTCGGACTCAGCCAACATTTATTTTAATTTCGGACAAACTTGGTTGAAGCGTCCATGCTAGGAGACCGAATCCTATTCATCTCCAGCTGTCTCCAAAAAAAAAAATACAAAGACTTTCACATAAGAACGGATCAGCTACAAAGCACAGTCGAGTAGGTTCGCAGTCTGCTCGCATAACTCATTTGAGACACACTGGGGGTATGTTTAGATGCTCCAGATTGGCAAAAGGTGTCGTGGACACACCAAAAAGTGAACCCCGGTGTTATTGTATTGGGAATTACCACAATACAATAACACCAGAGAAGACGCGACGTGGATTCGAACCACGGCCTCCAGAACCCCAGTTGGGACAGCTGGTATTCTACCACTAAACCAACGCGCCTGTGTGTGTTGAATGTGAGATACACCGCAGATGACGAAGTAAATACATCAAGTTAGCTGCTAAGAAGTTTTTTTATGTAGTTCTGGGCATAATGCCTCCAGTGTACGGATCCGAAGGGGAAAGGAGGGTGAAGTGCTCCTTCCCAAGTTGCCCAGGAGTGAATCTCATGGGTGGTCTGGCCGGAAGCGAACCTCACCTGGTAGGAGGGAACAACACAACCCATATGTCGCCCAGTCTTTCATATTTCAATCACGAGTTTCCCATTGTCAATACTGCGTCAGGCCACGCGCGCTGCCAACTCTTCTACTGCCAAGCCAATGAACCCCAGCTCCGTCCAGCAGCCCGCCATTGCACCCGAGTATCTTTGACCTGCAGAAAGATCCACAATAACCGCATCTATCTCTTCGCGCGGAGCAATATGGACTCTCAAACCTGTGGCGTAAATTGATTGCACAGAAGTCGGAGCTGTGCTGCACCGGCAACCAGGTACCCCGAGGATCCACTCCAGAGGGAAAAGAACCTTTATTCACATTTTTCTTTCTTTCAGTATTTTCAAGTTCTCGTAGCCAACAACCCAAACCTTCTCTTTTAGCGGCAAATATATCTGACTTTTCCTCTTCCTAGTCTGGAATCTACCAAACAGATATGCCACCATCCCACACGTATTCACAGCACCCATCGACAGCGCCTATCAACAGCGAATAAAGCCGTCATCAACCCTGCTACTATTTTTCTTTCTCCTTTTATCCGCTCTTCTGTTCGCCGATCATATAGTGAACTTCCCTTTCCGATCGCACGACGTCGTTGAGGTTCGCCTGTCCCCGGGCCGCCTGCAGCACACCGCAGATCGGCAGATCACTTAAACTCACAGCGGAACTTCGAAGCGACCCCGAAACTTCCAGATGAAACACGAGATGATCTTCCGACGCACAATTGGTCAAAGTCCGACGAATACGGGTACGACGCAGCTGCGCCGCAGATCACGAAGCAGTATAAATCAATCGATGCATGTGGCTGGAAAATTAGCTCCGGAGCTGAACATCTTAGATGGTCCTGGAGAGTGATGCCTCGACAGCTAGACGGATTGGGAAGGAATGAGATGAATGCGAATAAAAGGCTGGTGGCATGATGCTGTATCTGGACGCGGAGTCTATACAGTTGCTGCTTGGGGCGATGAATGGCGTGGTGGACAGAAGGTGTGAGATGCAAGGGGAAGGAGAAGAAATATATGGTTATACTGGACGAGAGATGCAAATTGAAAAGTATAAAGAGGGGAGAGATGAACATAAATGGATAAAAGAGCACCATCCTCAGATTGACCATCCTCCCGAACACAGCAACTTCTAGGATATCCTCCAAATATTTTCTCACGATGCATATCCAGTCAATCCTCGCTTTTGGCGCCGCCATCCTTCCCATGGCCTTTGCGGCTCCTCTTGAAGCTCGCCAATGCGTCGGCCCAAATGTAAACGCCGCGACCATCGCCTTGATCAAGGAGTTCGAAGGTTTCGTTCCCAGTCCTGCACCCGACCCAATTGGTCTTCCAACCGTAGGCTACGGACATCTCTGCCAGACGAGCGGATGCGGAGAAGTTCCCTATTCATTCCCGTTGAGCACGTCAACTGCTTCCCAGCTTCTGCTATCCGACTTGAAGGTATGCTCAGTACTGTTTCAGCCGCCCTACTCTTCAAGTACACTGACACAAGTCCAGCCCCACCAACAGACCATCACCCTCAAAACTGCCTCTTTGGTCGTCCTCAATGCGAATCAGTATGGTGCTCTTGTATCTTGGGCATTCAACGTTGGTGGCGGAAATGTTGCTTCGTCAACCTTGCTCAAGAGGCTAAACGCCGGCGAAGACGCAGCAACAGTCATTGCACAGGAATTGCCAAAGTGGAATAAGGCGGGTGGCCAAACTTCGGCTGGTCTAGTCAGGCGTCGGGCTGCAGAGGTTTCTCTGGCGCAGACGGCAACGAGCGTCCGTGCGATTCCTGCGTGTTAGAAGTGGAGACATGGAGGGTATGGGGATTGGGGATTTGGTTCGGCATCTACAAAAGTGCTTCTTCTCCAACAATTACCGAGTTCAAGTCTTGAAAATGTGGTCCGTCTCCTGGTGCCAAGGGTATGATGCCGATGGGGACCGGATGATGCCGAAAATAAGAGATGCATTGTCCACATGTAGTATCTTTGAAAACTCATAGTCCATAACTCTTATCATCCGGTTTGAGACTGAAGTCACTTTTGATGTAACCCTTATCAAAGAAGGGCCTCTAAATATTGCTGCAGTACTGGGCGACAATGTCCTACTTGTCATATCAGCATCTGCTATGCTTCGGCCTTTTACATAATTTCAGAAGTATGTAATGACAGTGTCTAAATACATATATGAAGTTTACGAGTTGTTGAGACAATAGAGTGTGTGAGGCGGCGTGGGATCACCAGACCGGACCCGCCAGATTGGGTTCTTATCAGGCCTAGGGTGACGATGAAATGAAGCGTTTTGCCACAGCAGTCGAAAATATCTGGAGCTTTATTTGAGGTGTAGACAGAGGGGTCAATGGATAAGTTTTCATCCTGTGTATCACTCAAAAAGGGAGACCCACAGGTCTTTGGCACATGTGCAAGTGCGTCCATGCCTTATCCGACAACCTCTGCCTCTGTTCATCCTCACCTGTCAACCGCAGTGCCCCAGAAAAAGCCGCCAAACATTCATTTCCACTCTTTCCGCCGTATCTTTCTATACTGCTTTCTGATCCTACCGTCTTTTGCCGTTCCACAGCCGAGAACGAATACCAAGACCAATGACGTACGGGGCTCAAAAACTTCCGAATTGCGATCGAGATGCGGAGGAGACTGTAGCGAGGAAACCGAAACTCGGAAAGGCCATGCCAGATTTCAAATGCCTTTTGGTCTGTCCTTGATATTTACCGCAGCGGACCGCTCCCATCCTTTCGAGTCAGTGTCTACCACTCGATCCCCAGCACGCCTAAGTGGTTCATTACCGCCGTCTCCCCCACAATGGCCCCAACGTCTGTCACTTCCCCGCACACGGAAGGTCGTCCCAGGCTTGGCCAGATAGGTAGTCGGGTGCCGCAGTCCTGGAGCAACTCGGAGCCGGATGCTAATACGCAACAAGCTCCGCCTTTTCATCGCGTAGAGCGAGTCGCGCCCGTATTCAGACCTCCATAAGCATTGCCCTATCTTTCTCTGAGGCCTCCAAATCTGGCCATTTGACTTGTTTTTTAATCAATCAACGGAGCAGATATTCTGAAATTTCAAACCCATTGAGAAGATGGATACGGAAAAGCAGTCCATTGGACACCACGAGATGTCGCCAAAGGCTCTCGAGGAATTGGAGCATGTTGCTACCGTTGATACGGTGCATCAAGATGAGGCGCTCAAGGTGCTGGCCCGATGGGCAGGAGACGAGATTTGGACCCCTGAGGAAGAGAAAAAGCTTGTGCGGAAGATTGACAGGAAGTTGATATCGATATTGTGCGTAACGTATGGGCTACAATACTACGACAAGGCTATGTTGTCGCAGGCGGTATGTTGCACAGCTGAGAATTTTATCGACACTGTTGACGGTTAAAAGGCTATCTTTGGGTTACGGGCGGACCTTGGCCTAAGCATTGGAAATCGCTATTCCTTCTCAGCTAGCATCTTCTACTTGGGCTTCATTGTTGGCTCATATCCTGCTATTCTCATGGCGCAGCGTTGGCCCATCGAACGGGTTGCAGCTGCAATCGTGGTTGTTTGGGGTGCGTGCTTGATGTGCTCAGCAGCCTGCACAGACTGGAAGACTTTCTACGTTCAACGCTTCTTCTTGGGGTTCCTCGAAAGCGGAATCAGTCCTATGTTCATGATGGTTGTAGGTGGATGGTACAACAAGAGCGAACAAGCCCTGAGAATGGGTGCCTGGTATTGCTGCACCGGCTACGTGTCAGCCGTCTCCCCCCTCATCAACTACGGACTCGGACACATCCGTGGCGGTGGGCTCAACTCGTGGCAGTATATGTATCTTGTGGCCGGCGTGCGTATACCCCAGTTCGAATAGCAGACACTGGGTGGTAGATGGACCACCACTCAAAGCAGCTATTGATTAAGGCCCACCAGACAATTCGCTAACTCAATCTCAATCTTTAGGCCATAACTATTCTCTGGGCTATCGTCATCTACTTCTTCATGCCTCCTGATCCAATCCGTGCCAAGGGCTTCACCGACCGAGAACGGTACATCGCAGTTGCTCGTATGCGCCAGAACAACTCCGGAGTTCGCAATACCCACTTCAAAGTTGAACAGCTTTGGGAGTCGTTGGTCGACATCCGATTCTGGCTGATTTTCGCCACTGCTTTCTTGATGATGTAAGTAATCAGACACAAGAAGGTTCAGATGTGATATTAATGAGGCTTTCTAGGATTGCAAATGGTCCCGTTTCGAGCTTCATTCCCATCATCATTAGTGGCTTTGGCTTCAATCCCTTGAACTCACTTCTTCTCACACTCCCTGCGGGAGTAGTCATTGGTACAATAGAACTTTCAGCTCCATATCTGGCCTACCGTATTCCTGGTATTAGGACTTGGCTTGTCGCCATATGCCAAACCGGCACCATCACTGCATCTCTCCTCCTGTGGTTGCTTCCTCGTCACGAGAAGGGAGGCCTCCTCTTTGCCTGTTACATCCTGGCGACATTTGGAGGTGGCTACGCGGTGTTGATGGGTCTCCAAGTCGCAAATACCGCAGGATACACAAAGCGTTCTGTGACCTCTTCAGGTATTTTTGTAGGGTATTGCCTCGGTATGTAAATCGGACTCTCCTCCCGAAGAAACTACTAACATATCTATCAGGAAACTTCGTCGGGCCGCTTCTCTTCAAACCCAAGGACGCCCCCGGGTATGCGCCAGGATTCACCGTAGTGCTTATAACGGCCATCATTACGGCTGTTCTTGCGATCGTTTATCGGTATGTGTGCATTTGGGAAAATAAGAGACGGGATAAGA